ATCGCTACATATGGTAGGTAGGTAAGACTTAACGTCAACTTTAAGTGGTAATCACAGTTTTAAGTATCTAAAGTAAAAAGGAATACATCTTTAAGTTTTCATTTCGAAAAGCCACTTATACATAGGTAGTTGCTCATGTAACTAGGATATACCTCTAATGTAAGCAATATATAATGTCGCGTTTTGCATTATGTACAATTAAGATTTAATTACCGAATGATATTCACTTACGAGCTAGAGGATAACATGTATATTGTGCATCTGAGGTGCGTCACTCGTCCCGCAGCTGAGCCTAGGGTTAATTGGTTAGTCCTGGGCACATACGTAAAGTACCCAAATAGGCAATGCAAGTTACATGTAAGGAAAAGTGTCAAGCTGACTACATACCTCATATGTATGTACAGCCTACATAGCTTTTCCTAAAATAAAGTTTAGATAAGTTGTCAAATACGACGTATAGCAACAACGGGAAGGTACTATGTACAATACAGAATTAGCCATACAGCCCGTATGTACTGCCAGCACGACAGCCAGAAGTCAGAAGTCAGAAGCCAGAAGCCAGAAACAATCCCACTCATTAGCATGCATCCCGCGCTGCATTGGTCATACCTACATAGAGACATGATCACCTTCACCTTTCCTTACTTACCTACTTACATATTACATGCTTGGCCATACATACATAAACACACCTATACCTAGGTAATAATAGTAGAAAAGTTACCTCGTTAGTTTTCCCTGCATAACGCAATTGTATGAATTGTATTGTATATACATACCTACATACAAAACCCTGACATCACCTACACCGCAGAGCGTCCAATACCCTTTTTTCTGGCCCTCCTTTCTCGCGAGCAACAATCAATCGGTTCGTTCCTAGAATTGAAAAAATAAAAATAAAAATCCGTTTGGTTTATTTGCGGCCTCTCCACTTGGATCGTCTCAACCTGGCTTCCCACGAATCTTAATTCTAGCTGCTTCCGTCCTCCTCCGCGCACACTCTCTTTGGTCCTGGCTTCTGACAATGACAGTCTTCACTTCGTCAAAACGTAGTCTAGTTAGCCATCGCCCGCGCCTCCTCTAACATTAGCTGGAACCCTTCCAAGGTTCCTATCGATTCGCCTATAAGAAAATCATCATAACGTCGCTGTCTACGGACCCGTGAAATCGGCTCATTGGCGACGTACTCCTCCTAGCTTGAACTAGAACTGAAACTGAAACCAAACCATCATCGTCATCATCATTATCATCATCATCATCTCCGAATCTCTATCCCTTCTTGCCTGCGTGACTTACATACCTCCACACTACCCACAACCCGTTACGTCGTCAGATCCCCCTTACTGCTGCTAAAAGAAGAAGATACCTACATGTAACTTTTAGCCAGCTGCCAGCTGTACCGACATCACCTACCTACATACCTAAAGGCACTGTCCTACTCAACACCTCGATATTAACTAGCGCCAAAAGGACAAGGCTTTTAAAACTTTATCTAATACTTCCACGCTATTCATTAGGGAGACACAAACAATACCACTTAAAAGCCTCTTTTTTAATTTTGCATTTCAAGACTTGTTTATTATTCATTCACTCATTCATTCATTCATTCATTCAATTCAATTCATTTATTTTTCTCTCTCCCGCATTACCATCAACCACGAAATATCGATCCTATCTCCAGCAGCTCTCCAATAGCAAACCCGCACCATAACCACTTTTAATAGTTTAGACGACCTAAACTCTGCAGCGCCGAGAGCTAGACTACTAGTATTACACTACTAGTATTACAGTAGCCCAGTTCGCCTCCCCACACTCTTGCCCTACTTTGATTATTAACTTTCCTGTCACCGGAAACTACAAATTGCCATCCGCCCGCTTCTAAATAATTTCTTTCTCATTCTCGCTTCCCTATTGCGAAAAATCCCCCAACGCGATCAAAGCTGTTTTGCAATCCGTCTTTAGTGTCGCCAACACTTGGGCGCAGCCCACCAAGGCGACCTCGAGCCGCCAACAATCCTTCTCGATTCGCCGAATTGACCCTCCTCCCTCTCTCTCCACGCCGCTTCTCCGTCGCCAAGTCACCTTTTTCCTATTCGAGACTTGATCCATAACTACACACCCGCCCGCCCAAGTTAACGAATTCGCATCGCCAATTTTAGAAATGTCGAGCGCTTCGGAAAAGACGGTCTCTCCTAGCGCCTCCAAGCAATCTTCCATAAAATCAGTCGAACTTTCCACGCGATCTCCGAAATTACGACCACAAAATGGAAATGGAAATGGACAGCCCATTGGCGACGCCTCTCATGCCGAGGCTCAGCCGAAGCAACCCGAGAAGGCTTCCATCAAGGACAGGTTAACCCGAATGTTTTCCAATAAGGAAGATATACCTAGATCCGTCATTATCGATACTATGCAACCATCTAAGCGCATCGTTGCGAGTCCTGCTCCTAGCCAAACTGGTGTTAGCACGCCTGCAAAGCCAGGCGGACTGGCCCGTAAGCCATCCTCTGCCGATCCACCTGTCCCATCTAAACCAATACCATACCAGCGATTCGTTGCGAATCCAGACGTCCCCGGCGGCCATGAACACCATCTCAAGGGTAGCAAGCGACAAGAGAAGCTCTCCGATATGTGGAAGTCTCTACTTGGGAGAAAGCAAGACCAACCAGCAGAAGCTGATTTGTCTTTGGTCTCCAGTTGGGTTGACACCCTTAAGCAGGAGAAAGAATCACTGGCCAGCGACAAGAGAGGGGGTCCGAACCAGAGCATTACTCTGGTCGAGAAGTATGGTAAATGCCAAGAGGTGGTGGGTCGTGGTGCTTTTGGTATCGTAAGAATATCGCATAAGAAGATGGAGAACGGAGAGAAGCTCTTTGCCGTTAAGGAATTTCGTCGCCGACCAGAAGAGACGGAGAAGAAGTATAGCAAGCGCCTGACGGCAGAGTTCTGCATATCTTCCTCTTTGCGCCACCCGAACGTCATACATACGCTCGACCTGCTCAAGGACCAAAAAGGTGATTATTGCGAGGTTATGGAGTATTGCTCCGGTGGTGATCTCTACACGCTCGTCCTCGCCGCCGGGAAGCTGGAGGTGATGGAAGCCGATTGTTACTTCAAGCAAATGATGCGCGGCGTTGAATATCTACACGAGATGGGCGTCGCACACCGCGATTTAAAGCCCGAGAATTTACTTCTGACGAGTCATGGTGCCTTAAAAATCACGGATTTCGGCAACGGTGAATGCTTCAGAATGGCGTGGGAAAACGATGCCCACATGGTGTCGGGTCTCTGCGGCTCTGCACCTTATATCGCTCCGGAGGAATACATCGACAAAGAATTCGATGCTCGTGCCGTTGATGTCTGGGCTTGTGGTGTTATTTATATGGCGATGCGAACCGGACGACACCTGTGGCGCGTTGCCAAGAAGGATGAGGATGAGTTCTACGAGCGGTACCTCGAAGGACGCCGCGATGAAGAAGGTTATGGCCCGATCGAGTCATTACACCGTGTAAGTTTTCTTCAATTTTGCAGTAGCTTATGATTGCTACAATCCTAACGAATAACATGAAGGCTCGTTGTCGCAATGTCATCTACTCTATCCTAGATCCCAATCCTGCGCGACGTATCACAGCATCGCAGGTTCTCAAGTCCGAATGGGGCCGCGAAATTAAGCTCTGCAAGGCCGGCGAAGAAGGTCTCTAAGCGATGCTGCTCTTCACGAGCGGCATCTCTTGACTAAGGGACGAACTCTTCTATTGTTAGACCGATAACCGATCGTTATGGATTGTTTTGTCCCTTTGGTGTCCTCAGCTTTACAGAAGATGACGACCCTGACGTTCTTCGCCACCTTTCCGGGGAGACTGCTTCGCTATCAGCCATATTAAAAGCATCAATCAGACTCTTCACGGCTCAGGTTTCCTTTGATCTTGCATGGTGTTCCGGTAAAATTACGATTTCCTGCATTTCGCTTTTATTCTCAAGTTCGTATTTTTCAGTATACATTTTAGTCTCGATACTTCGGACCACGGCACCAGGATTCCATCGCGCAGGCATCAAAACAGGATAGGTAATAGATGCGCCATGCGCACTGCGAGTGAGCGCCAACAGAAGCGGCTCTTATCATCCGTGTAAAAGGATAGAAGCATACTCGCATTTTTCCTGGTCAGCTGCAAAGAAGGGGAGGGGAACTGGGCGGCTAAGCTGTGTTTTTTTTTTTTCTATTTTCTCTGCTCGCTTGTTCGGTTACCTAGCACGTCTTTGAGGGCGGATGTAATAGCCATGATCCGGTTTGTTCATTAGAGGACTCGGATTCAGAGCATTTTAGATACCTAGGCGATTCAGTCCGAATTCTGAGGCTTGCCTTGGCGTCTCGTGTTTAAGGGGTTGGAGGTTGGCATTTACCAGCGATGAAAGAGCCGTTGGATCCGTTTGATCCGGGACAGAGCGGTGGTGTCTCCACAAAACAACACATTGCACACGTATGGCATTTGTTCCATTTTCTATCCAAGCCAAGAGTGAAGATTCATATTAGCGCACTGATCTGTCGTGGCCTTTCTCCTTGCGTGACGACATGAATATGTGTTGACTTTGGGGCAGTTGGTGTACGCTAAGCAGGTCTGGTGAACGAAAGAGGCATAACGCATATATGTCTAATAGACTGTACGGCAATGCCGGCCGCGGGTAAGCTTTAGAGGGTCAGGTTCAGGGGTATAGAAATATTGTATTGCTATCATGATTATATCTAACTAGGTTACAAAGTCCTAAATTATAGTAATGTTATGAATACACTAGATGCCTTGAGTCTTTCTTATATTAGTTATGAATAAATATTATGAATAAGCTTAGTGGAAGATATGTGGCACACTCCAATACATAGCCACAATCCAATTATTAACTGTGCTATATCACGTGATCCATCCCGCTGAGTTAGATAATCATATTTCCACGACTGCCACTCTGCTACATAGTACTTCATACATTCATCCGGTAACAATCCGCTCTCATCTCAGACGCGTCGCACAAACCTCGAGGGTTTCGGCTATACCTTGTAGATAGGATTCGGTACTACTTATCATGACATCTACCTTCTCCCACTCATCGAGCCTTACGTCCCCTATACCCGTAGGGTTATAACGGAAGTACTTGCCTTGAAATTTAGCATTAGGCGAGCAACATATCTTCTTGAATGATCTAGCCACGGATTCTGCATCTGTCATAACCTTCACGTAGGCCTTAGCTACTGACATAAGGCTATTGCTTAAGGCTATAGGGCCCGAGATTCCCGTCCCTATGCTAACTATACAGGATACATCTGAATCCGGAAATGCGGACTGGACTTCGTCGATAAGCTCGAATATCGGATTGTTACTCCTAAACGCGCCATCACGGAATGTGCAACCGTTGCTGAAGGTGATGGGGTCAAAGAATGTAGGCGCTGCTGATGTTGCCCGTGCTGCTTCCCAGATGCGGCAGTTCGAAGCCTCCTCAATGGTAGAATGATAGTTCCTCAGTCGCCTGGTGTCTGCGTTCAACATGCTTGCGCAGACAAATCTAGCAAATGAATTTAAGCACTCTTCCAAATATGACCGGACGGCTCGAGTGATCGTAACTTACATCTTGCAGTCAGGGTCCTCCTCGAGCAGGGCTGCATCTGCGTCCCCAAGCCGGTCTTGTACTATACCACGGATCTTGTCTTCAAGTACTTTGTGATCAAACATTGCCCTGCCAATGATATTTAAAAAGGTACGACCTAGGATCCTCATCCATAATGACATCTTGAAGACATCCTTAGACATGTCAATGTATGCCTCGATGCACGACGCCACGTCCATTCTCTGTTAAGGGGGGGAGGGGGTTAGTAAGCGCTACATTTGAAAGCAGATAGGGGGTATTACACACAAGCCTCCCTAACATTATTGCGATGAGACCGCCAGTACTTGTCCCAACGATCATATCAAAAACATCACAGGGCTTGGGCGGTTCTTTAGGATTGACAAGATGCATCAATCTCTGCAATATGAGCAAGCTAACGAGGCCTCTGACTCCGCCTCCATCTACGACGATTATTGTTAGTTTTGTTTGACTGTCCGATTTTTGATTAGATTGTTAATGAAACATGAAAGCTCACCGAGGGAGAGCAACCGAAGGCGTCGTTGAGGTGGCACACTTGGATTATCAGGCATTATTGGCTCATCAATGACCTTATATAAACCAGCACCTAGTAAAACACATTAGGCTTATAATATAGGTTTAGAAGTAAAGTCATGATTGTTATATGTTAAAGGTGTTTGAGGACATATATTCCATGATGATTCAGTTAATCGCTTACGACAAGAAGACATGAAGTTAAAATTATAATAGGATTATAGAGTATATGGCTTATGGGTGTAGAAGCAATGTTAACAATTGACAACTACAATTTTCTATAGAGTATTACCAAAATCCGTAGCTACGAAAAAACCTAGTTACCAAAACTCGTAGTTACCAAAACTCGTAGTTACCAAAACTCGTAGTGAATTACCAAATTACGTAGATACCAAAAGACGTAGTTACGAAAAATGGTAGTGTTACCAAATCACGTAAACACCAAAAAAACGTAGCTACGAAGAATGGTAATATTACCAAATCACGTAGATACCAAAACACGTAAGTAGCTACGAAAATTGGTAATGTTACCAAATCACGTAGACACGAAAAATGGTAGCTACGAAAACTGGTAGCGCTACCAAATAACGTAGATACCAAAACCCGTAGATACTAATAGCGTACAACAAATCGAGAGTCTAGAACTGGCAATTAATAAATGGATGGGGCTATTCACGTATCTTCTCTGATGAGATTGGCCTCCCATTGTCGAATCAACGTTGTGACGGCCTCGCATCCAACCACGCCACGCCACGCACTTATACCTTTTTCTCGTAGGTAAGTAAGTTCATATATTTCCTACCCAATAGAAAGACGCAGGATAGAAACCAAAAAACGTAAAACAGGAAACGCTTTTTGGTAAACAAAATACCAAAAATCGTCGACGAGTAGGTACTAGGTACCTACCTGAGTAGTTTTAGGTTAAGTCTTCTTAACATAACTACTCCTTTTTATAGACCTATTTCCCAACTGACACAAAGGTAAAGACTTTTTTTTTTTTTGCTAGGTAATGCCATAGTAGTGTTGAAGCATTATTAAAGCATCCAACTGAAGCAATGGCACCAGCAAGATTATACCAACGATAAAATATAGTCTTTTACACTTACCAAAGTCCTTGATATTAACAAGTCAAAATACTATAGCTAACTAACTAGGACTCAAGGTCGTATAAAACCCAACGATTGCAGTTCGATAGTAAGATGCCCAACGTCTCTTGCCTTGTAAGCTTGGTTTAGTGACACTAGGAAAGTCGGCTGGATTTAGTCTTTAGGACCGAGTTTAGAGAAGAAGGAGATAGGTATTTTCGATTTACTTTACGGCTCAACGATGCACGGCACATAGCACCAACGCAACAACCATCAGTGAACTCGGCGTTGCCCTGTAAACTGAGCACATGTTCCATGTATATAACTGACTTGATTTTTTTTTTCTTTTTTTTTCTTTTTTTTTTTTTTTTTTTTTTTTTTTTTGGTGTTGTACTAATGCTTGCTTTCGCCTGCTCGCACCCAGAAGGTGTTGCACATAGCTACCTACCTAAGGTTAAGTACTTAACTAGAAAACAAGCAAGACGAAAGATTCACTCCGGAACAAGTGGGCTTCCCACCTATTTCGAAGTCTTTTTTAAACACTATTAAATTTTATACCTTTTCTACTTATTTTCAAGCGTTGAATGACGTTTTCATTGGCTCAGAGACTATCTTTTGTCTTGACTGTTTCCTTAATTAATGTGCAGCACTTTTTAGGTGCAAGGAGGCAAAAGCCAGTACTGACAAGTTTTGATTTATTTATTATATACGAAAGGGTAATTCAGCAAGTCTCTAATGTGTGATTCTAGCCTTTAATTGGTTGGACTGATATGTTTGATGGGGGGAGGGAGGGGGAATGCAAGCCGTTAATCAGTAATACATACATAGGTAGTATTATACAGTCTTGTCACTTATTAATCATTGATCTATTAAGACGCTTAGGAATAATACCTTCACCGCAGTCATTTGACCGCTCCCTCATTGCAGCTCTACTTCATTTATAGGGGGCGCAGTGTGGTAAGCGGCATCCCGGGCAGTCAAGGCTGACTCTATCTTACCAATAGTATGGTATATTTACGCATTGGAAGAGTCAGCCAAATATCCCAACCCCTCATGCATCTGCCTCCAGGCTCAGGGGAGTTGTGTGGCTTGGCTTGGCTTCAGCACTTATACGTGAGAGCAGCTCCCGTCGAGTTAATAATCTCGACACGCGTACTCGTCTAGCCAGAGGAACGATTATTCACGCTCTTCTCTCGAAACAAATACCTCTTCTAATAGGTATACAGCAGAAATCGACAACATGTCTGTCTCTACGGACGAGCTCCGAAGCCAATGGTCTAACCCGGGTGACATCCTCAGCCTTCTCCTCCTTATCGGTAGCGATATTGTGCAAAAAGCCATCGCTCAACTCGTCGGGCACAGGATTCACCTTTATGGAGATAAAAGAAGTCAAGGTCTTCCAATCGCACCCGTTGCTTTTTCTTTCGGGTGGGTAGCTTACGGGTTCTCTAACCTCCTTTCAGCTATCGGGGATAGGAAGCTGATGCCGACGAGCGATTGTCCCTCTCTTCTCATAAACTGCTCCAACGGATTTGTGAGGGAGAACCAGTCTTGGGTATTAGGCCGTCTTCTTCGGGATCACGAGATTAAATATGCCGTCGACCCACGGCCGAAGGATGAAGGTGGCCGAGCTGAGTCTATTCGAATCGATGTCTTTGACCTGCCCCCCGCCTCGCGCCCTACTTGCGACTTCGTGTGGTGGCTTGGATGGGTAGTATTACTTGCGCAGGTTGGCATTGCTATTATACCCTGGGTCTTATATGATGACTGGGGAATTTTCGTAATTACTCTATGTGGGAATTTGTTTGTTGCTGCTACCTGTGCTCTACCGCAGTGGACGCAAGAGAAATGGGCTGGCCGCAAGTTGAAGCGCGACAAGGTAACATGCCTGACACGTGGTAACGGGCACTTTCATATTATGGTATTCATCGGCACTCGAGACTCCTGGGATCTGGAATCTCTTGCAAGCAGCATATCTGTTCCGCGGCCAGAGACTCGCTGGCTTTCCCTGCTTCTCGCTATATTGTGGACTTGCCTGCTTATTAGCATATCGGGACTCAAAGAACACACCTGGTTTCTTGTCGGCATTGGAGGTATCGGTATGCTACAAAATATATTCGCAGCCGGAACACCTCGAGATCCAGGAGCTTCTAATTTACATATTACCCAATTCTCTCGTGTGTCGACGATCGTAGGGAGACGCGAGGACTACGAAGACGACACGGATTGTAAAGTTAATCTAGAAGAGGCCCTTGAGGAACTTGTCGACATTGATTCATGGGCATCAGGAAAGCCGCCACCAGTACCACAACGTGATAATTCTCCTCCAAACGAAGCCGCTTCAATACCACGATGGCTAGTTACGATGTCTAAGTCTGATGGTGTTCCTACTTGGTTGGAGCCCCTAAAGCCAGTCTCTTTGACCAACCAGACTCCACCCACGTGCCGTTTGATATCAAGAATATGGCAACGGCCAGTTACCGATAATGGCAAGCCGGACGAGGTCGTATACGCTATCGGGGTTCACGGTGCGCTGATCGAGCTTGAGAAATGGGTGCCGACAGCCGGGCTTGCGATGACCCAGATATTCTTCCCGGCAGGTCTCCAGTACAACGATGCGGCCATACGGGATAAAAAACATAAAAAATTCTGGCAGAGAGCATATCACACTAAACAAGTCAGAGAACGAGCAGAAGTAAAAAGGAGGGCCGAAGAGGTGACCCCGGCTCCGATGGGAGTCTAACTAGACATACATAGCCTTTAGGTTTATATATTATTATATTACACTTACATGGTCTCAGCCTCCTCGAGTAGCTGTATTATCTCCTTGTGACCTCCCATTCTGGCTATCAATTCATCATCGGGCCAAACTTTCGCCCCTTTCTCAAGTAGCAACCGTACTATCGTTTCGTTTCCTCTGGATACTGCCACTGATAACAGCGTACGGCCACGATCGTCACAGATTTCGATATTAGCTCCTTCTTCGACTAGCCATCGTGCTATGTTTTCGTTTCCTCTGGATACTGCCCTCCGTAACGGCGTACAGCCATCATTGCCACAGATTTCAATCTTAGCTCCTTTTTCGAGTAATTGTTGTACAATATTCTCATGGCCTTCAAGTACCGCGCAAAGCAAAGGCGTCTGGCCATATAATCCGAGGGCCTCGATTTTAGCTCCTTTTTCGAGTAACAGTCGTAGTATTGCTTTATGGTTCCCCCTCGCCGCCGCCTCTAATGGCGACAAGTACCGTTTAAATTTTAAATCAATTTTAGCCCCCTTTTTAAGTAATAATTTTACCAGTCCTTCATTGCCTCTTTCTGCTGCTATATATAACGCCGACTTGTTTAATTTGTCTTTTAGATTAATGTCAGCACCCTTTTCAAGTAGTAGCTTTACCATTCCTTCGTAATCTCTGCTAGTTGCTTCCAATAATAGAGTCCAGCCATATTTATTTTTCAGATCAAGACTGGGGGACTTCCTTGCAAAAATCCCGCCACGTTTCTTAGTGTCGAAGTTTAAGAGGATCTCCACGACAGCCTCGTATCCCTCCGTACAAGCCCAGAATAAGGCAGATCGGTCATATTTATCGTCTCGTGCGTCGAAGTCCAAACCCTTCTCTTTTAATAGCATACAAACAACCTTCTCTAGTCCTAGTAACGATGCTATCATTAACGAAGATAACCTATCCGGGACCTCATTTCCTCCGTAATATCGTCTCCTGTTCCAGTAAATTCTGAACCAGTCGTTATAGTTTTGCCTGTTGCTACTGCAAAGCAATTTTGCACGACACTCTATCTTTCCCGTATTCTGATTAGAGGCCATACGGAAGTGAGCGTGCCAATTATTTGCAGCATAATCCACAAAGACTGGGAGACCACCTTCGCCTGAAGCCTTGAGATTCGGAAAACAGAGATAAGTGATACATATCCCTGCAAGTACACGATGTGATTTTGAGGGATGAAATGAGTTTTGCCATTTGGTGTTGGTGGGAGTGAGCTTGTGCTGGTGGTAAACCAAAAATTCTCTGGCTGTTTGATGTAGCAAATAAACCTTAGAATGTACGATAGTAACGAACAGCCCGCAAAGTCCTCTGACTGTATCGCGGAAGCGATTTTCTGGCTCGAGCTCGAGTTCGCTGTAGGATTCGTGTTCTTCTCTGATAGCCAGCGCTATTGCCATTTCTTGCAACGACAGTGGTCTCTCTGCCGCAACGACGATATGAAGAAGTCTCCTGGCTTTTACAATATCGGCGCTTCCGCATAAAATCTTCTCATATGCTGTCTCGACTGTCTTCGGAAGTTGGTGAATAATTGCTTTCAAGTGCCCTTTTGTAATTCCTTCGCTGTTATTTATAACGTCGAAAACAAGGTAAACCCATAAATAAGTTCGGTGTGGGATACGGGTAAGTTCGTCTTCAAGGAGCTGTACTTCTTCTTCTTCAAGGTTAAGACGTTCGCCGGTTTCCTTCGCATTAGTTTTGATAACAATATCAATTTCCTTTGCGATCTTATCGACTTCAGCTTCATTCGCTCCATTTAAGTGGATTTCGGGGTACCGGTTCTCAAGGAGCTGGAATCCGCGTCGAATATGGTTGTATGGTCGACTAGTTAAAAGAAATTTGAGGGAGGATTCGCCTGCTCCATCCTTGTAGAGCGTCTCTAAGGCCTTAGTTAGGCGGGTAGTATCTTCGCATTCATCTAGGGCATCGAGAACACAAATGATCTCTCCATCATCGTTATGGTATGAAACACTCGTAAGAATATCCCAAAGTCTAGAGAAGGAAGAGAAAAGTTGCTTGTCATGGGCGAATTTATCGACAATCTCGTCGGTAAGAAGAGCAGGCTTCTGAAGGAAGAGTTGATGCAATAGACAACGTACAGCGCCTTCTAAACTCCTCTGATCCTCAAAATCGTCTTTGAAGAAGAAGTAGCATGTGGATCTCGTACTGGTAGTTGGAAGGACGTTATCCACCAAATGCTTCGCCAAAACTGATTTCCCGCATCCTGGATCTGCGGATATCCAGAGTAAGCTCAACGTTTGGCCGCATCGCCATTTTCGAAATGTCTCATGACTTGTGAACCATTCGCACGTTCCCTCTATTCGCTCACGGTTTCTATCCTTACGATCTCGGTATGGTAAGCTGGGGAGTTCGCGAAGGAAGAGGTCACGTTTGCGCATTTTATCTGTTTGAGATATCTCATCTGCGTGGGACAAGACTGTAGTTGAATTGAAGTAAGCATCGAGAAGACTAAGGATATGCGACGACTTACTGCCTTTAAATAGACCTTTCTGTATTAAATTCCGTAATGCAGCACTATTAATCCGCCCCAGGTCATCTGCTGCCTTGCGGATCTCGTCCGAGCCAACTGCCATTACTCTTTCCTGTGTCATTCCCCTATATCTTGCAGCCTCAAGGTTTAGTCGTCCCATAGCTGCATCATAACAGTCTTTAAATCTACTGATAAGTGAATCCGCGCTGGTGTAGATTTGCCGAAGTAGCGTGAAAAATAACCAGTGTAAGTCGACCTTCTTAGACGACTTTAACTTGAGGAATAAGTCGCAGTTGTCAAGGAACGGTAGGTACGTTACAGGCTCTTGATCGAGCGCAACGGGAATAATATCGTGATTATTACGACTTTGAGAACTCCTGATTTTGAGAAAGGCAAGCTCAGTAAGCACATGATGAAAAGCATCATGGGAGCAACTGTCTTCTACCACCTTCCTAATACCTTCTTTGTATTGTTGTACGAAGGATGCGGTTCGTCCCTTGGTATACGATGCTTCAATGGCACCTATATAAGACGAGGTGAAATCATCTTCGTAGTATCGTTTAAGCAGACCCGAGCTACACACCACCACCCTCTCGACGCCGCTGATGGTGCCGGCGTTATTGGAATCATTCGGTGCTGGGAGCAGACAAAATTGGTTATCGAGGATGTTTCGGGTGGCAGCAGAACCACCCTCACGATCATCAAATAGAGGTAGCGGAGACTTGTCTGAAATAATTCGAGCTTGAATTCTTCTGAAGTACTCGATGAGTCTCTTGACGCTTTCGGCATTGGCCCTCGTATCCAGCTTAGGATTCTCATGCGCATAGACAATAAATATGCTGGGGGAAGTCGAACAACTAAATACGTCTATATTTGCAAAAAACTCCAGTATCTTGGAGAACAATTCCTCTCGCGCTAACAAGGCTATTAGTTAGTGACGGGAGTAGAAAATGGCAGATGGCCCATGACGAGATGGCGCCCAAGAAACGTACCGGCATCCTCTTGATACTGGAACCCATTCGTGGAATCCAATTTGACTGGATGTGTTTCCATTGTCGACTATGCGAAACTTAAAGATTCCTGAGACAATAATTGAGTCGACGATACCTAGCGGGAGCAAAAGGGTAGCTTGAGACGCATATTAGACAGTAGGAGTAGAATGCAACGAAGCTATAATGTAAGATTTAGACAGAAATCAGAGCCCAATTCAGCATCGGGGTGTTTCGTATGTGATTGGCGGGAAAGGAGCCAATTATTGGGCTGTGTGGCGTGGTAGCTGAAACGTGCATCTTCGACCCCTAAGCAGACTTCAACAACATCGTGATAACAAAGATCGCTCGAGAATTCTAAGTTAACCTGAAACTGAGAGATACGTAGGTACCTGCCTATATATCAAAGCTTACGGTTAGCCAAAACATACAAGCAAAAAAAAGGGGGGCGGGGTGACGTTGGGGATCGGATCTGGGACAACGTGCTTCGTTTTTATCCTATAGGGTCCTCTCAACAATGTCTACCTAACCTATGTTTCTCATGTGCGCATAGATAAAGTTTAGAATAAGTCTGTGAGAAACACCTCGTTTAAACGAAACAAAACGAACGTTATCGCAAACCTGTCCCGGTTAGCCCTTGTTTACTATGAAGGGGACTGACATGATGTGCTGGGAGATGTAACCGCTATACGACGGTAGGACCTACGCTTTCGCAGCGCACGGTTATATCGACTACGCGTAAGAGTTTAGAAGACGTAGATTCAAAAATCTATTTCACCCCAACTGTTGGAAAGAGCCATATTATGTATTTACCAGAACCTGTTAGTTCTAGGCTCCCTCCTCATATACGTCCAGCTTCTAGACGCAGTACCGTTGTACCAGTTCCCTTGACCCGTAGCCTCCGCAGGTTTAATAAATACACGTCCTCCCTCCCTCGGCCTGCCTCTTATCCCGTAGTCCCTGCTATATTCCACCCTTAGCAGATGTCCCACGAATCATACCCTCATTTCCCCCGCCATACCAAGAAAAATGTTTGAGATGAAAGATGGCGACTCCCAAAAAGCAACAAAAGAAAATACTCCGAAACATCTTTTCCCTTCCAGCTACCATCAGTGCTAGGTATCAAGATCTCCAGACATGGGTTCCCAGTACAGTCGTGCTCCAGATTATAGCATCTGGCAGCTGAAGTATGATCGCCCGCGGTGTCCGTATCCGCTGACGCCGTCTCAGAACGACGTACTTAGTACTAAGACATTATATCCCCCAATCCGTACCCCGTATCCCTCAGATGATGGGCTAACGATAGGAATATAGGATCATATGCGTAACATAGTAGCGGGTATAGTCCGCCCAAATCCCACATGGCCCGTCGACAAATGCACATTGCCCTTACTAAAAATCCATATTGGAGCATGTATACACGGAAACAGGGCCGTATGTACTTCGTGCCGTGGCATTAAGTCATCAAGTTGCAAATGTCAATTCGATCCGCCCCGGTAAGACCGTCGCGGGAGGTTCACGAGTGAAACAAATCCCAGGCTCTCTCGCATATCTTCAAAAACTCCTCGCGCTTCTGTCGCTGGGTCTCGGGGCTGTCCCGGCCGGCTCCAAAGGGGCCTCTCCGAGTGGGTGCAGGCCCGTGGCCGAGCGGGGGGCTACTACCTTCCTCGTATTCGGCGCGGGTTCTTCGCCTGCTCGTACTTCGACCCGTATCTAAGGGGTTAAGTCCATTTCTAGGCGACGGGGGTGTCGGGGGTTGATGCCCGGTATAGTGGACAATCTTAGGTAGCAGCTCTGGCCGCCCGCCGGCTAGTTCGTGTTGTACTTCCTCGGCCGACTTGTATTCTCGACCCCGGCCTGACATGGGAGGCTGCGAAGGGCCTGGCGGCGGGTGACCAGGCGATGCTAATGGTCCGTGGCTGGAACCAGGGTAGAAAGCTCGCGCACTTGATTCTGCGTGTGAGGGAAGGCCTTGGCCACCGAACACATCGGAGATTGGAGGCAACCGATTCGCCGTTTGGTTCGCAGGTACGTGATGAATGTGAGACGTACTGGAGAGGTTCGAAGGCTGATTAGCGAGATGCCTCGTTAAGGGCTGCGGGTTATGGCGCCCGGTAAAAGTCTGACCCAATGGCGCGGATTGGATCACCCGCTCGTGGGCGAACTGCTCATGTGATGGTGCTACAATACTTAACCCCGGAGGGGCTTTATTTCGTCGAGACATCCCGGGGGTTTTTGCGGCGAATTGGCTAATAGGGTCCTTTTCCTTGCCATTATCCGGACCATCCCCCTTCGCCGATTGCTGTTGTAGTCTAGCTTCGATAATACGGCGTTGCTGTTCTCTAACATTCATGCTCTGCTGTAGGTGTTCTTTCATAACAGGATCCTGAGTGACGAAGCCGGGTGATAGACATGCGATACCCACTTCCTGGATACCGAGTCCTTCCCTCCCTAGCGCCGGACGTGCCGTAGCGGCGCCCGACCCGGTGAGACTCTTGGAGAGATCCAGCCTTCTTGGGCGATGACGACCGGCCGGTATATCGGGAGATCCTGGCTCTTTTTTTACAAAGATTTTGGGTCCAGCAGCGCTCGACGCATTTCGTGTACTGCAGCGGAAGCGAGGGTTAGCGACAGGAATATTCCGAAACTACGATAACGGAGGAATGGGATCTCTTTTTCTAGGGGTTGGGTATTTTCCGTGACGGATTGAAGGATCTGTCGAGTCCGAAAAGGGAGAAGGGCGAAAAAAAGAAAAAGAAAATTTTAAAGTTACTTACGCGCTCGGGGGAGAAGACTTTACCGCGGTCTGGGCAGCGGCTCTAGGGGGACTTCGGCTGGTAGGACGTTGCGTCGCAGAAGCAGGAGCATTAGTGTTCGGAATGCCCGAAACTGCAGCCGAAGTACGTGGGACGGAAGGTGAAGGCGGCGCTGCGGCAATTCCAGTTAGAGTCGAAGAAGTACCTGCAGCGCTGGTGGCAGGCGCCAACTCAGCATAAGCTGGTCTGTCGTGGGGAGCCGGGGAAGGGGCCATTGCAATCGCTGCACTCATGGTGTACGAATGGCTTTAAGCTTTTTTTTTCTTGATATGGTAATTACAGGTACGATGATGTTAGCTCGAAATTGAGTTTTTTTTCTTTCCCTTAGATGCTGATGCTGTTGCTGATCCTCTCCTATTTTTATTCCCGGCTGAAATGGCTGATGCGCCACGCGGGAGTTGGCAGCAGGGAAGGGAAATGGGCGGAAAAGTCTTGAAAGTGTTGCAGCGATGGTACAGACAAGACGCTCCAGATGTCAGTGAAATTGATTGATGAAGGGATGAGGCGCACTTTGAGCCCCCCTTCACGCCTGCGCTTAACTTTGCAGGCTTGAGTTGCAGGAATATTGATGTTGGGCCCCGATTATTGTTCAGATGGTTGCAGCCAATGATTATCTGGTCCTTCTACTCAATCTGCCCGACTCCGTATTGGTACGTGTCCAAACGCGCCAATGATCGGGTCGCTCGATCGATTTAACCTATTAATTCCTCTGATGAACTGCCTTAGCTTGCCAATCGCGAATGATACGGAGGGCGAGTAGGCAGCACGTCAGCTCCGAGTAAGCAACCAGTCCTGTATCGCACTGGAATATTTCGGGCCTTGGGCCGGACGGGTCAACTTTAGTTTGATGCCGAAGCTCGAGAATGCAACCGACTGGAGTAAAGTCCGCGGGACGGGGCAAGATCCGGTGAGCCAGGTATTCGGATGTGATCGAAGTTGGATTATCGGTTCGAGGGATGCCCCCTGAAGATCGGATCCGGTATGTGGTCTCCCCTCCTTTGTCTCTCTTCGGACTTGCTGCTCTACGAATTGTCTCTCGACTGGATCCGCCCTTTTCTTTTCAAGGTTGGTATATGTTTTAAATGAATGTTAACTCGCCTATCCACTTTCTCGATACTACCACACCAGAATATAGGCGACGCTTAATTTGTGTTGCGCTTTGCGTTGGGCTCGTCACACAAGTGGACGAGTCGCTCGTGGAGGGATGTCTGCCGGTCGATGAATCGGCGTATTACTATGGTTATGGTATGGACAGATACCAAAAATGTGGCTGGAATTGGAGAATTGGAAATTGGAAAATCGAACGAAACAGTACGAAACTCGATCAGATAGGGATTGGTGTATATACGGTTGCAGCGAACTTTTCTTCCCCCAAGAGAAAATAAAGAAGAAAGCAAAAAAGAGGCACTACAAGGAGGAAAGATGTAGCGAAAGAGACTGGACGAAAGACGAGTGCGGAAGGTATGGGATTAAGGTATAAGGTTAGGGTAGGCAAAGTCGAAGGGAGGAAAAGGTAAGAAAGGTTTCTCGAGGCGTAAAGAGGGGCAGGCTGATGGGCCGACCTCCCATGTTATTAGCGGTTTCCTTCAGGGACGAACACAGCTTCCTGCCGTACTGTACAAGCATGTATTGTACAATACAAAACAAATGTACTTGCTCTATTAGGTACACTGAGTCGTTAGCGTGCTTTAGTTGCGCTACAGGTACAGCACGGGCCCAGACGCGGCCTTGACGCTAGTGTGCCAGGTAAGGCACTAGAGATTCAAAAAATCCCCCCCGGAATGGAGACTTATGAAAGGGGAGGCGGAATATGTTAGGAATGACACAGTTATGTGTGAGAGAAGTGTGGGTTCGACGAAGAGGACCTGGGGGAGCCTGGGATTGCCTGATAAGCCTGGCAAACCTGGGACTTTGAATCCCTGTCGCGAAGAAGAAAAAAAAAATTAGTGTATTATGAGGTAGAGAAGCGAAGATGTATAATTGGTTCCCGATTTGATCGTTGAAGCACGGCCGGTGACCCTTCACTTGGGGTTTACATCATACCATAGGTAGTAGTACACTTTTTCTAGGCTGATATGCATTTTGTTGAAATCCAACAGTTTTATGTATGTCATATTTTCCTTTTTCATATCAATTTTATTTATTTATTTCCTTTTATTTTATATATAGTTACCATCACGAACACACACTTCGAATACCTGCTCGTTTACTTTACCTCTTTACCTACATGCAGGTACAAGCTAAGGCTAGTAGAAACAGTGCACACAAAAGAGGTACATCATATATGGGCTAATACGACGCATATGGTGAAACATAACCAAAAAAAGTTGGGACTATTTCAATCTTCTTTCCCTAACCCACACGAACTCGCCACACGTCAGTCAATCAATACACTATGTATTTGCCAGAAGAGCTCGATTCAGACGGCTTGTGGGTACGCATGCCTCGTAAACGGTGAAGAAAGCAGCAGCTCTGTGGGACTTGTTTCTGTTCTGGACGGATTTGTCTGCTTGTCTGCTTGTCAGGCAGGTTTGGTGGCGTGTGTGGGTTGAGCCAAGGAATGGGGGGCCCCCCGTCGCTCTGCCTCCGTATTCCGTAGACTGTTTTACATTGATGCTTAGCAACCCGTCTAATCCGGTCTCGATTATGATTGGATCCCGCGAGATTGATCAAAAAATTCGGGAACTGGAATTCTGGAACTACCTCCTAGTATTCCAACACTTTGACATTTCATCATCATCATCAACGAACAAAGTTGGTGATCTACAACAAGACTATATACCTAACTATATACCTAGGTAGACTGGGTATAGGTATAGACTATCGAAATGTCAGATGCTATGTAGATCGACCTTCGGCTCGAACGGTTCGGTTTCATCATTCGTCCAATGGCGTAGCACAAGTCGCCGAAGATAGAAAAGTCGAAAAGGGTTGGTTGATCATGGATTAGGTGATTGATTACCTAGGTACCTAGGTAGGTATCAGGATGTGATTGCGTCTAGTCTATCGATTCCCTCCCATCTGTCAATTACCATTTGTTGCCGCATGGTCCACTCCGTTGCACACGAGCGCAACGTCGATTTTCAGGTGAATTCAGGTGAAGCTACTCTAGACATGGGCCCTTGCGTTGGTTGGGCGTTATGCCTTTTTTGGCTCAGACAAGGATTACATCGGCCGCAAACTTATTCGGTTTTCTTGCTCAACTCTGCCCAGTAGATCGGACGAAGATTGCCTCTACTTTTTACTTGACCCGAACAGGACACCGTCCCGTTGGAAACTCTTCTCCTGCCTTAGCGTTACCAGTTACCTACTAACCACCTGCATATGTAAATGTAAAAGTACAGTGTGGTAGGGGAGTTACCTTGGTATGGTATGGTATGTTAGGTACAATACAATACATCCCTCCGTCCCATCCCGTTCCATAATCCATCCCATCAGCTTCCCTTAAATGTGCAAATTCCAGAAAGAGTAACCTCCCTCATCCAGCTATCCCCTCATCGATACTTTCACCGTAACCTTTAGTCGTGTCAAGTTTACCACCCATCTACCTACACTAGGTAGGTATGTATCGAGATGCATGCAGGTAAGTTGCCCTTCGCGGTAATAATGTCCAGATCTATTATGCCTCTAAAAATTTCCGTATGTTTCAGTCCAGTCTCTGACGCAGAGGAACAGTTGAGGGAACAGACTGCGGGATTGCGGCCTGGGGTGCCGTGTCCTCGGCACGTCAAATCCTTGCGGTGGTGGCCCGTGAACATACATCATCAACTAACCTTTTTTTTATAATCAAATAAGTCCTTCTAATATAGCGGATCGCCGTCATGGGTATCGATGCAGAAGAGCTCTCGTATTGACAGGCGTACGGAATATACATAGGCAATGTACATAGCAGATCCCCGTACACGTATGAGGGGTGGAGGGGTCTGTCTGAAATCTCCTGCTGATCGGTTTGTGAATCGTGATTTATTAAGTATCCAGTGCGGTGCAATAAGGCGGAACCCCCCCCCCCCCCCCCCCCTTGTCTACGAGCAGTTCCCCGTCCGCGAGTTTGTCAATCCGATCAACAACATCGTCATCATCGTAAGCACAACCCGAGCTAAAACGTCTACATACACTATTATGGTTATCATCTACATACGTAGAAGCAAACTCTTACATGAACTGTGTGGAATTTATGAAAAGGAACGAATTGCCGATGGGCACGACACGACTTACATACTTCAGGCGTGTAAGCGCCTTAAAAAGTTGAAACGCAAACCCTTGGCTCGTGTCCAATACAATGCAGTGCTTATGAATTTCATATTATTCATCCTCCTTCGTTCCGTCGAAGCTACATTACGAAAAAGTCGTTGTCTCAGATTCTTGTCGATTTGACTCGATTCGAGAGGTGAGATCTTATCACTTGGATGTTATTGGCACCAGGTAGCAATGTAGTATACATATGTATCTAGGTAGTATATCATGTATGATGTACAGTACACACCCCCTTCATACATTATATCATACACTACGCATTCCTTTCCTCATCTAGACGCGGTTGTAAAATTTTTGCGGCATCGCTGAGCTTCACGTGTGTGTGTGCGTGTGTAAAGATATTCGTTTCGTGGGGGCGGTAGAGCATCCCGCGTCTTTTTTAAAATGCAAACGCCAATACCATGATACTATATCAATCAACATCGTATTTTAAGCAACATAGCGCTGTCGGTGGTCTGCTCTATCGGGTATAGGTCCGATGCAATTTGCCGCGCGGCAATGGGAGACCTCTAAATAAGTATCGCGTATATACAGGTAGTTATACCTAACCTATATCTTCTTTTTACCTATAATTATATAACCCATCCCCTGAGCTCGTGTTGACATCGTCAAAAAAGAATCACCGCCATCATCACGAGCATGTCGTCACGAGCAACGAAGGAAGAATAAATCCACGTCTCAAGTAGCGCTGCGCCTACATACGAGTCCCTCTAACAAAACATCTTGAGGCGCAAATACGCGCTACACCCCTCCTAATCCACACAGCCACGACACATACCACAGGATGATGCTCGTCGGTTAAATTAAATTAATGGACAGGTATATGTATTGAAGAATATATCAGACGGGTCCACTCGCGGCCCTTTCCGCGCTGCTCTTCTAGAAAGACCAAAGTAGCGGATCCCCCTCAGCTGAAGGAGCCGTGGACGAGGCGAGCATACCCGTCATCTACCGTGCATATATATATACCTGTATATACGTGAAATTTTCGAGGGGTGTAGGGTATAGGTAGGTAAGTTAGGTAGGTAGGTGTGCAACGATTTCATCCTGCTCCTCCTTAGCGGTCCCCAAATCCGTACATACATACATAATAGTTCTCCGCGGCGGGAGGAGTCGAGAATGGTTTCCCCCCTTTCGAATCTCCAGTTCTCCAGTACCGAAGGCTGAAACGGAGCGCAAATCCTAATTGATTGATGTCATGGCGGAAGAAGTGGGAGGGAGGGTTGATGTGAAACCACGGCAGCGCCACGAGGCTGCTGTGTAATATGTTTATTTATGCCGCAGCGGATAGATGGTTGTCCATGTCGGAAGGCCCACGGATTACCTCTGACTCAAGCTTACTAAGTAAAGTACGGCAGACGACGAGAGATAGGATCACTTTGATGCTATATGTCCCATTTACTATGCTCTATATCCAAGACTCAGATTTACCTGGCTCAAATCCAACCGTATTTCGAACACCCGAGCGCCCCCCCTTTCCTATCAGCCAGCGTTCCACAAGCATCGTCCCCGAGGAGGTATCACCTCGTCTTCAGCAATAACGCTATTGATAAAAAAATACCAATAGCCAAATATATGTCTTAGCTCTATCTCCACGTGGTACCTCGTACCTCAACGACCGCAGATACATATGCAGACGCAGCCCGCCGAGCCAATTCGTCCATGCGCGGGCACCAGGGACCCGGGAAGCGTCGACGGATACGAGCTCGTGCGACGCGAGCAGAAAACAAGATCCCTTCCGTTCCAACTGAACTAGTACCCGACGGTAAGTAGGTATGTATGTATGTATGTAGGGAAACCTGGGCTAGACGGATAAATACATGACAGCTTAGATGCCTGGGTTTCGAGCGCTTGCGGAGTTATACCTTGTCGCTCGACAAGTAGTTAGCCGAAATATTACCTCTATATAACGCGGGTAGTATATGAAAGCAAATGATGAGTTATATAACCAGAGATGAATAAATAAATACAACTCGGTGCTCACCCGACGCCAGATCGCGTAGCACTGTGACACCCCCATATCGTGGGAAACGCGAGCTCGCGAGTAGGAGTAATATGTCTGTCTGTACGAGTTTTCTTGTATCACCAAGACAGGTAGGTAGAAGTAGAGGTAGAGGTAGGAAAGAAGGTAGTTACACATAATCCACCCGGTACAAATTCTCTATCAAGGCTCACCATGTCGTAGGAGAAGGTATACTAGAATAGAGCTACTACCGACGATTCTACAGTATAATGCTATGCAAATGCCACAGGTCTCATCCGCAGTTAAGCCAATATCAATACCCTTAAACCCCAACCCGTAGGGTGGAAGAAAAAGACCCGTCGCTAATGAGGACCTATCCAATGCGCCCGTGCTGCCTTTCTTATTCTTTTCGGTTGCCCGTATGTCTTTATTTCTTTCTCGGCAATCTAAACCGTTCTAATAAAACCCGGGTTGTACTTAGTTATTCTATCATAAAACCCTAATCGCGCGGCTGCGACAAGGTTAACTTCCAGGACCTTCGAGTCCGATGCCCTTCCGACGACCTCTTATCACTGCTAACAAAGCCTTTCCGACGGCATCCAAATCGCCTAACATGGTAATGTGCCCCCTATCAGTACTAACTTGACCGTCACGTACGAGCTCATACCCCTCAGGGAGCATGGCCTCGCGGGCAAGTACGACGCCGTCGCCGCTGCGGAAAACTAAGTCGTCGTATGCATCCGCGCACGCAATTGCTTCGCGTGACGTAACGCTCGCCGCCCACACAGTTGGTACATCCTTGCCGTAGATAACTGCCAATGGTGGGTATGCATTGGCTTGCGTGTGCTCCGGCCGGTGCTGGGTCTCTGCCCGGAATCGCTTGATCTCGGCGAGCGTCCGTGTTAGGTACGCAAGGTTGCGGTTGCGTGTCCCGGCGTCGTTGTCAAGGTTTTTCTGCTGTTGTTGATGAGCTGTGCTCGAATCTCCATGCAGCGTTCCCATTTGCGGTGCTAGGGTCCTGTCGTTAGATATCTCGACCATCCGTACCGCTTCGGCCACTAGATTGCGCGTCGGCGACCGAGATTCGCTAGCCGCACTATTTCCTCGGCTCCTTAATGGTGTCGGTAATCTCTCAGAGAGCTCTCTCAGGGAACTGAGTGCGCCGGAACGAGACTTATAGGAGGGTAAAGATGGTTCTATACACGGACTCAAGCTGTATTTTATCCATTGTTGCGGGTCGTAGAAATCGACTGGATATTGTTCTCCGGTATACTTATTTATGAAGCAGAAGCCGTCTTCCGGCAGGAAAACAAAACTCGTCCTTAACGAAAAGTTAACTTGCGCCGTCAAGACCTTTTCGTTAAAGAGTACAGCGTCGCCATTGCGGATCGGTCCTAATATATTTATACATCGTTGCGGAGTCCCTGCATAAATTACTCCCGAGAACAGTTCAGGCCGTTGGTTTACGGCGTGGCGAGTAATAAGTCCTCCGAGACTGTGTGCAATGACTAGTGCACCTCTGCCTTCGGAGGGATTAGAGCCCTGGTTCGAGGGCAGCTGTTCGAGAAAGGCGATCAATTTGCGCGAAAGTAGATGAGGACTTAAGCGCCAGTCCCAGCCATAATCCCACACTCTCAGTTTACCCGACCTAGCATTTTCGCATTCTCTCAACCTCTTGAACAAGCGCTTCGAGATATCAACCGGACCTATGTTTTTAAGCATACCGGAGGCGTATATCGTCTCTTCCATTCTTTCCTCGTCCTCGGGATCCAAACCAACTTCCAAGTTCACTTTTCGAATGTTCAACCCAACCTTTACGGGTACCCAGACCTGACGGTTAGTTCTGGTAGACCTTAAGATAGACCCACGGTATCCACCCATGATGACAATATCGCCGGTTAATAACTCCAAAGCACGATCCAGATCCGACAGATTTGTATCGCTGTTGTTTGATGGGCCGACATAGAATATTGTAGAGGTACGTGTGGTACCTGATAAAGTCGAGTCTGACTGATTGAATCCTAGTGTTGAATTTCTCTTGAGCGGAGCTGGAATGATACTTGGAAACTGAGGTAATTTGAATGTAGGTACGTCCAAGCTATCCGTGATAGCTTTGAGCCTGCTGTTTTTCTGCTCTCTAATATCATTCCATCTATCGTCATCACCGAAGGAAGACATCCTAGATAGTGAATGGTAGAGTATGGATTCATCAGAAGTTGACCGCCGCATTACCCGTGGCCGAGTTGGCGGTCGAGACGATGTAGCGCCTTCAGCATTGCGGATGGGCAGATCCATAAGCGATTGCCTATTTTCCGGCGGGGGTATGTTCCTAGAAGTTAGGACAGACGTTTCTGTGAATATGAGCCGCCCTGTCCTTGGCGCACTTTCATTGGAAGTAATAGTCTTCTTTGCATCCAGCCCTACACTCTTCGTCGAAGATGGTCCCGAAAAGAATGACGGCAAAGAAATTGATGGCATGGATGGCATAGACGGCAAAGCCTCCCGTATCCTCTTCAGCGCATCCGCTCCCCCGGACGAAGAACGGCGATGGCCATTATTTTGACCAAATACAGCAGATAGAGCTGGTCTCGAATTAGGCTCATTCTGCACAACCATCTGCTTTGGCCCCGACTGCCATGGCGATGGAAATCTGTACATAGGTGAATGGCTTGAAGGAAGTTGACCTAAGGAGAGACCTCTACTTTGGCGCGTTTGCGCCCTCGTACCGGTCGTTTGGTAAGCCGTCCTAGTCGAACCCATTGCTAATGGATGTAGTCTATCCGGCTCTGAAGTGATTGGGCCTTCGATAACACTGAACAGACCTCCGCCTGGCACCCGCTCCAAAGCTGCCACCTTCTCTGCTGCAGGAGTCTTCGGCAGGGTGAGCCTCGTTGCTGCAGGACTTAAAGCCGGCTGTATGATAGATTGGGCATCGTCTTGGTCGATATACAGCTGCTCCTCATCTGCTGCACCATCAGATGACGGTGATACCTCTCCGTCGGAAATTACCAAGCTAGGCGGCTCTAGTATACCCTGGAGGAGCGAGGCTCGACGTTGACGTTCAGGTGTGTTCGCCATACTGGCCGATTAAGTACCTTTACCTAGGTACATGTAGGTATCATCGACGGTTGGACTTCATGAGAAGTATAATTGAATTATAATTATCATTATCCACCTGGATGCTGATGATGGAAACCTGTCGGGAGTGCATTTGAGAAGCAGCTATAATCCACAGGACAAGTAATGTCGCATTTCCGGAAGTACCGGGGAGACGATTATTTAAGACTCCCAAATGAAAATGAATTATTTTAGGTAGTCGAGCTTGTGACTCGGGAGCCAGGAACGGAGAGCAATCCACAATAGACGGGGGCAAAGCGGGCTGTCATATGTGATGTAATAGCGCTATTGGAGGGTTCACATACACTATACCTCGGAAGTACCTAACTTAATGCTGTTCGTCGGGCTTTAAAGGCCTTTGTTAGAAAGCGGAAGGGTAATACCTTAAAATACATTAAGGTCGGGCAGCACAATGGGCTGAAATCGGACGGCTTCCACGGTACATTTATATGTAATGAACTAAAAAATGATTATAAAATCTGGGGTTCGAAAGCGACGGATCCAATGAACTTGGCTATTAACACTTAAGTACCTGCACTATAGATGTTAACTTTGCACTAACATCGATGGATCTTAGCGTACCTACCTACCTTCTATTATGTAGGTAGGTACCTCCTATTATACTCTAGTGCCTGTCTAGTAGTCTAGTAGCCCGGTAACACAACGCAGCCACGTACTACAGGCATGAACTCCTCCATGACACGTACCTCTTTGCACGTAATTTCCCATCGTAGACATTGTTTCCGCTCGAATTGGACCCTCTCCTCTAATCCCAGCCCCCTCCCCCTCCCTCTCCCTCTCCCCTCAGCTAACCGGGCGTAGTGTATGTAGTTGCACTGCAATCCATCGAAGGAATCGACGGGTAGCTGCGGGTTCACCATGAGGTTTCAATAGGCATCCATTACCTATGAGAGATAAATCAAGGCACGGCGCTATCTGATCAGGAGCGGTGAGTAAGCTTATGAACAGGCATGACAGGCTGGCGGCTAGCAAGAAGGCTGACTTTAATGTTGTTGAGAGGGATTTGATCTCATGCAATGCAACCGTACATTATGAATGCATAGAATGCCTACCCATTCATTGTATGTACACATTGCCCATCTTTTTATCTCGTTAGTATGGGCATATTGTGGAGAGACAGACGGTTGAGCCCCAGACACAGCCGCCGGGAGCCGGATCGGCGCTCTTGGTTGGTCAATTATTGGCTGCTCGGTGCACCGCTGACGACATCTGAAATCCATCTTTTAAATTGTTAGTTATCAGTTTGACATGATTGAGCAGTTCATATTTTATGTTATGTATGGGGAGTTATGTACAAGAAACGGGCATCACATCTTCCTTTCCCACCCACCTTAGACGCCTCGAGCAGCTCGAGTAACAGCTGAGTCGACTTCACCGTACGTCGCTGCTTCAGACACTACTGGCGTTTTTCATTGGATTCATGAATGACAAGCTTCGAGATAAGCCATTGTCAATAGCATTGCGGGCGTCTTTGTCCAACAACTCCCTGGCCTTAGGGGTCTTCTTCAATGCCCACCACATATTAGCTCTATTCTCTACGTAACAATTCTACCTAAACCTCCAGAGTTAGCAGGCCTTGCCGTCGCTTGAGTCTAGGTACATCGGTACCAAATAAAACTTACGGCGCTTGTAGCTTGCTAACAGCCACATCGAGTGCTGTCCAATAGATCGTATATTATTCTATAATCCAATATGATGTTCTAGCTTTGCTCTCGATATATCATAACTCATATCATATGTATTTACAATCACTATGTCGTTGTGAGGCTCACATCTGAGACAAATTACTCCGCTCCATAACATGTCTCATACCAATGGTTTTTTATCTCCATGCTGTGTTCAGTTTAGGATACCAATGAAGCCGGGGCTAGGGTAGGCCGAGGCTTAAAGCGGCGTAACGACTGCATCAGGTTTTTAATTCCCAGCACGCAATCAATTTGGTACGTAGGCGTAATCCGGGTCCCATGTACCCAGTACCTCTCATGATGGTCTCGCATGGAGATGAGTGATACTGCATAATCAGGACTTTTCAAGTTCACATCTTGGGTGTGAACATGATACCCAGGCTCGAATCAATCTCCTTAACCTTTTGGACCGACTTCTGGTATCCGGGATGCGTCTCAAGCCTATCGATGTACGCGAATACTTTAGGGAACAATGCTTTAGGGCCACCGCTCTCCCACGCTCCAAAAGTCTCAAACTTATCCTTGGCTGCGATTAATGCGAAGCTGATAAGTATGTCCGCGGACGTGAGTTCCTGGCCGCACAAGTAGTCGCCTCCCGAAGTCGCTAGCTGCTGTTCCAAGAATCCCAACTGCGACTTCGCGTTCGGGAAGACCAGGCGGCTGAATATTTGGTTGGCGACCATGGAGGTAATAGGGCGGATGAAGAATGGTATATTAGATCCCTTGAGCGCTCCTAGGACCATCGCCATGATAAGCATCGGCATCAGCGAACCCTCGACGTAATGGAGCAGATACTGCCACCGCAGCCACTGCTCGGTCTCGCCGCCAACTTTGCCATCCTGGCCGTCCTTCCAGCGCTTGGGCATCATGGTGGTGCCTTGGCCGAAATGCTCACTCAGGTATTGAGTGATGAACCCGCTCTCGGCTAGGACGATTGGCTCTTCCGAGCCTGCGGGTGTGATGGAGATCACTGGTGACTTTCCCAACGGATGAATTTTCTTTAACTCCGGAGGGGCGAACATGTTTACTCGACGAAATGTTTCGAGCTCGTAAGGCACCTTGAGCTCCTCAAGAAGCCAAAGAATGTTTTGAGCGCGAGATTGCTCTAGCCTATTTAATTGTAAGAGACAGCTCACCGTGCGATGTGATATGATCAATAAAGGACCTTACCAGTAGAGCTTAATTTTAGGCTGTTCTTCGGTGGCCATGGTGGACAACACGTAGATGATTGTGAGATGTTAAAATATAGCGGCCTAGATAGTGATACCTAGGTAGGTTTGTACAAAGAAGTTTTATAGGAAATAGAGAATTTGCTCCGAGGATATTTTGTATGCTTGGAATAGGAAATATAGTGCACGTTGGGGACACTGTCTGGGTTTTATATCCAGACTAAAAGTTCTATGTAAGTCGAACCCGGATTCAAATACTAAACAAGACTTGGAATTTTAGGTAGTCTTGTTATTAATTAAAAGCTGCAGAATCCCAGCTTTATTACTCATCATACGACAAAAGGGGATCTTTTTCCGTCTTCGAGAATTTGTAGAACCATGACCAAAAAGTTGCCGAGGTATAATTATTTCAAAACCAAGAACAATGCAGGCTACATCATAGACCACCTCCTTAGGTAAACCTGGAGTAAACAGCGTAGGTAACACAACACTACAATTAAAATTAATATGTATTATAGTTATACGAGGTCATCATGGGAAGGCCGAATCCTCAGTACTGGGTCGTTATCAAGAATAAGAATAAACTGTATATTAGGCATAGCATGTGAATATGGAAGGTCGGTTTGTGTAGGCCTACATATTCTTCATGGGTACGGGTTCGTAACACAGCTACGTCAGTTGTCCACTATGGGGCAATAGCTTTGATTACCTAATTGGAACCAAGCTTAAGCTTTGTTACGCCACAATAAGGCTTACAATCAAAGGCCCCCACGTTAGGTGTGTACAAGCCTCAACCCATTCAAGACGTCAAGAAGCGAATTGAAGCTACGATCAATCAATACCAAGATCGATCTCTTGAAAACAACCACCTAAACACCCACCTATCTAGTGCACGGCAATTGCCTACCTCTGTCAAGATGGCTGGCATGGAGCACTACCGTACGTACATACGACTCCGAGAACTCAATTGGATTTCCGTTCACAGCAATAAGCAAGGAAGCTAACATTCGTGTCAGGCATGGCGATGGACCCGGCTATCCAGAAGCTGGGGAGTACGTCTACCCTTTCCTCCTCCCCCCCTCCCGAGACTTCGCGACGGATCGTGGCGCAAGAAGAGGGACCGCGCAAGGCTGCCAAGGAGGTAAAACCGTGACTGATATGATCCGCAGACATGACCACGAACCGTCACAAGTTCTTCCGATGGACTCCGCGAACCGCGCGTATCACCTTCATGTACGCCATCGCCGTGCCGACCATCCTCGGCGTCATCGCATACACCACCGACGTGAGTAACTCAGCCCGCCCAGCTAGAAATTGTTGTGGAAAGATATGTAGACGCGAGGATTACTGACATAGCTCCGACGTGTAGGGAAAGTGGGATTTGCGAGCGAAGAGGAAGGGAGACTTGATCAGTGAGTTCTAAGAGAAGAACCCGCGTGGGAGAAGCTTGAACGACTGTATATAAGGCTAGGCGAAACTACCGCAATTGAACGAGGACTTTGACCAATGAATGCCTTTAAGTGCCTCGACTTTTCAAGAGCGCAATGCCGAAGTTGATGTTGAAAATGAATACCGAGAAGGTTCTAGTGCCTAACGTTATGGTATACTCTCCAATTAACGCTCCAAGGTATGGTATATATGATGTGCACATGACAACTCCTGAAGGACCCGATACTTGTCCTCTTCAGCATATTTCATTCAGACGCCTCCCGAGAAAATATATTCTAATCACCAATAAGAGCGTCCCTTATCTTCTGCTGGACGTATCGTGATATTGAACATAATAGTTTCCATAAGTTAATCAATCCCTTCGGCTGGCGTAGCTAGATGACCAGCGTTTACTTTCTTAATAGCGAACATCACTTGAATAGGAGATATCTTCAAACGAAAACAAAACAAATTGATACTAACATATACTATTAGTTAGATAAAATATCAAACGCAAACCAAACTTTTCAAATATGCTCCCTTGATTGCCCGTCCCTCCCATCTATAGCCCTGAAAATGCCACATCATAAAAACCGGAAAGCGGAAACAAGTTGTAAGACAATTTTGAAGGGTATCTATGCACACAATCATTTGCTTGCTGAACACTCGGGGGCATTCGGGTATCAATTTGCGTCCGTCATGAGAGCCAAGACAGGACGACCTGCTTGCATTGCAATCAGTAAACGCATGGGGCTAGAAGACGATGATGAGCGAGACATTGCAGAGTCGGACAACTCACTTTGTTATAAGTCCGTACGGGACAGTCAGTATATCTATACCATAATTTGCCTGTTACCGCCAAATACGTTGTTGGTTTTATCCCGACCACTCTCCCAAAGACACTGTTGTTTCTACTAGGACTTGTGTCCTATGTCCGTCTTATCCCTCTACCACGTCCTGCGGGGGGCGACTCAGGTAATCGTTCTCCTCTCCTCCATTCGCCCATCGGTATGCTACTACGATTTCCAAACCCGTCGTATCCCCTCCCGCTATTCCTTAGTCTACCAGAGCGGTCATTCCCGTTCTCCTGTTCTCTTCTGCTGAAGGAACCACTGGGGGTACGACCTATAGCAGCCCTGGGCTCGCTAGCACCAGTACTTCGTCCGACCTTTGCGCTAGAAACAGGGGCAACGGAACCGTCTGGTAGGGGAGGGAGGATGGCGCATGAAATAAAATCACCGACCACAAACCTAGCCTCCTTTAGAGTCTTATCGCCTTCAGACTCGAGCGTCTTCTCAGCCTCGGGGTCGTCAGGGTCTAATCCTCGGCCCCCGTTACCAACTATCACGCTGCCCAAGTCTTTAACAGCGTACTTGGACGTCGTCGGGCCTGAAGTGCTTCGCGTGTCTGGAAAGATGAGACGGAATGCGAAACGGGTGCCGATAGCCGGATCAGGGACGAGAGATGGCTTCAAAGCAGCGATGATGTAAGTAAGCTCTGTTAAGGTGCAGTCGGGCCAGGTATATATTGGCATATGCGGCGGAAGCTGCGAGGTATTGAATTCATCGGGCCTGAGATGTGTGTAAGTATTCGAGTGGCCCCCCCTTATTCTTGGAGCGTCGTAGGGGACCCCATGATGGTATGCTTACCTGTGAAATGCGCCGGTTCGGTAGAAGAGCCGTAACATAAACGGCGGTGTTGTGTGACGATCCATGTTGAGGTATCGCTTCCCCAAGTGGTACCTTCGCAGGAACACTCTGTTTAGGATCAAATCATGTTGTTGCGACTAGTAAGGCTGGACTTATATATGCTTCCTGGGAACGGAGTAGATGAAAGTCGGGAGAAATGGGACAGCACGGATGGATATAGGTAGGTAGGTACGTATGTCAGGCTGACGTATGTTAGGAATGTTACCTTGAATGGAAGCTCGGAAAATTCGAACTTGGGGGAGGCTACGAATGATATGCTTTCGATTTTTTTGAAGCAAGCAAACGCGGGAGCTCGAAAGCTTCGCTGATAAGATTCCAGCTGTTCCAGGGACTCGGGGGTTAATATGTGCTGATATAGTGTATAATGGTGGGAAATGCTAGAAATGTTTAAATACACTAACTACTACCTCCCTAAACTTTAGAAGCCCCCACCTACCCCGGGCAGTTTAGCGGCTCTTTATGATGTAACCTGGGTAGTATAATTCGTAGACCGTAGCTTTAGGTAGCCGCGTAGCGTCTGGGTAGCGTGCAGGTGGTCTGCTGCTAGAACTGCAGGTAGATAGTCGGTATGATCGGTACCTATTTTCCCATTTTCCCACTAAAAACTCGCCGACCTCCTTAGTGGGTTGACTCCTATTGGACATTTTAAACAATAAGTCAACCATGCGACCTTCGTCCCCATACGCCGCCCTGCGATCTCCATCCTCCCAACATACACCACATCCGCACACGGCTTTCCTTGGGACCACGTAGCTGGGACCTCCACTCACCTTTTGAAGCAGTCATCTTCTACCAGCCACCCGGTGGGCTCGCCAATCTTGCCAGAGCAACCACCCGCCAAACATGGATTTCGCATCTCTCATGTCCAAAGAGCTCGCCAAGGCGACAGGAACAACAACACCTACAGCTGCCAGCGACTCATCCTCCTCCTCCAACAAGAAATACATACGCCGCTCCGAAGCCGAAGCCCAACGCGAAGCCGCGTACCGGGCCGAACAAAAGGCTCTCGAGGAAAAGCGGCAGGCCAAGGCCGCCGAAAAACGCAAGCGCGAAGAGGAAGCAGCCGAAGAGGCCAAGGCCCGCGAAGAAAAGCGCCGGAAATTAGAAGAAGAGACGCGGCGCCGCCGGGAAGAGCAAGCAGCCGAAGAAGAGCGCCGGCGACGGAAACGCCTCGGGCTACCCGAACTATCCAAGGAAGATGGCGGCAGCAGTACCAGCCGCGAAGGCAGCACGGGCGCCGAGGGCGACGAGGACATCCCGGCGGAGGCGCTAGTCTCGAAGCTGCGCGAACTAGGCCAGCCCGCGACGTTATTCGGGGAGACGCACCGCGCGAAGCTGAAGCGGTACCGACGGCTCACGACGGTCGTGACGGCCGGGCCTATACCCACGACGCTGCGACTGCTAGAGGAGAAGGACATGAAGGTGGACGGGTCGATACCGCAGGACAAGGCGGGACGGCAATACCTGTTCCGCCAGCTAGCGTCGTACTTCACGATGGTGCTGCGGGAGTGGGAGGTAGCGCTCGCGCGGGAAGAGAACCGCGACACGTTCGCCGGGAAAGCAGCCATCAACGCCATGGTATCGAGCCGCGACAACATGGTACCGCTATTCCGTAAGTTCGAAAAGGGCGAGCTAGAAGACGACATCCTCAAGCCCGTCGTGGAAATCGTCCAGGCCGCTCAGGAGCGCCGCTACGTTGACGCCAACGACGGGTATCTACGCCTGAGTATCGGTAAGGCGGCGTGGCCTATCGGTGTTACCATGGTGGGTATCCACGAGCGAAGCGCGCGGGAGAAATTACACGATGGTGAGCGGGGACATATCATGAGTGACGAGGTGACCAGGAAATATTTACAGAGCATCAAACGGTGTCTAACGTTTGCGCAAGTACGCTGGCCCCCGGAAGATATCAGGCAGCTGATGGGATGATATGGTAATAGCATTTAATTAATTCATTCCTGAACTACTCGTCATAGGGTATTTGCGAATCCCATGCTCTTAAACGACGTAATATGCCATGTAGACATGACCCTAGAACCTCCCTGTAAAACAAAACTAAACCACAATGCAACGTCCGTGACGCCTGTATCCTAGCAAACTCCTCATTATGCGTTGTGTGCCTATGTGTTTGGCTGCCTTTCAGCCATGATGACGAGTGTTCCTGTAACAACTCGGTCCATCTCCATACATATTTCTCTCTAAAACCCGACTACTTCCCGTTATAATTCTGGAATTCACTGCCCGTAATAGGCTCGATCTATCCCTATACGTTAGAAGCATTGCCGTCTTATCCCTAAAATGATCTTACTAAGACATTGCGTCGTTGGAAGCCGGCTGTCTCCTAGCTTCATCAGTCCAGATGTCGCCTACGCCGGGGATATTGCCGGCTCCTGCACCAGTGGCCTTTCTAGTGCCTTTGACCTCTAGGTCGGCCGCTACGATGTTCATCCGGCGAATTCTCTCCAGGACTTCCTTTTCATAATTCTTGGCGGAGTCCAGAGCCTTCTTCTGCATGGCAGCTCTGGAGTTGGTGGAGACAGCAACAAGAAGCTAAACGAAGATCTTAGTAACGCACTAGTTCCAATATACACATAATGACTTACCCTATCAATGGTATTAATACGAGCGTTTAGAGCACCCGTTTTGATCATGTTAATGAGCTCTGGTTCAATAGACTCTCCGGGTTTGGCGAAGGCTGCGTTTAGGCTTTCCAAGGTGACACATGAAAATGGTACAAAGTACTGAACAATGCACTTGCTGCGAATCTGCGAGAAAATTGCTGGAACGTGTGCCTGGAGATAGATGTCGAGAAGGTAATCGTTTCGGTATGACTCGAGTATTCCCAAGCAGGCCGAGTATCGTCCGTTGACGAACAAACTGACAGCTTTGCGGATGTGCGGCTCTAGCTCTAGGTAGTTTCTAAAGCTAGAGTTATCTAGAACCCGAGTCTGTAGTTCTAATCGATCCATTGAAGCGAGTGCAAGAAGCCCACCATATGTGGCGACGTCATTCAGGCTGGCGACGTCGTTATGTGTCTGACAGTTGATTGGATCACCAACCTCGAGGAAGCTTTTAGCAGCATCGTAATACCGACCTTCCCCAAGTTGAGCAAGACCATAAATCATCTTCTGATAGGGTTGCTCAGTATTCTGCTCGTTGCTCCCGGGGCTCACGGCCAGAACCTTATTCGCATTTGCCAGCACTGCGGCCCAGTCTCGTTTCTGTAGCATAATGCTAATGATATGCTTGCCTACGTCTTGGATATGAGATTGTGTACTAGCATCGGGTCGCATCTTGATATAGGTTTCGGAGGCTCCGTTAAGGTCTCCAATAGACTCGAGGTGTTCTCCAAGATCGCGGTGACCAATCTAAGTATGTCAGTGCTATTCTCAATGACTAATTTCTTGGGTTGGAAGTGAATTTATACCCTAATACTCTCTTTTACTAAGTTATTCTTATACCCTTTGAGCTCAGTTTCAAGTCTGTGAGTTTCTGCCTTGTTGGCCTTCCCTGTTGCTGTGACCCAGGCCTCGTCCCACTTAGCCTCAGGTTCGTCGGGTGCAGCAACACGAATGCATTCAAAAGCATCGCGGTATCGCTGGACATCTTTTCCACGCTTGGCTTCGGCCACGGCAGCTTTAAGGGCATCGACGCATAGAGGTACGGAGCATTGGCCAATTAACAATAATCGCTCGAAACGGGTACGGCCTAGCAGAGTAAGGTAAGTAGCTATTACAGGCAAAGCACACGAGTAACATATGCTAGGTTACCTAGAGTCACTAACCTTTGTAATTAGAAATGTATAGGTCAAGGTCCAGCTTCGGAGCATCTAGAATACGTCAGTTTCCCTGCGCTTTACGGAAGAACCTGTTTGAAAGTCACTTTGTACCTCTAACAATAATACCGCCCTGGTTGTTCATGGCGGTAAAGTAGGTAAGGATGTGCTGGTCGGCTGCCATGATGCCGGCGCTCAAGAGATTAGGGCCTTTGGTCAAGTAGTGAATACCTTAATCCGTTGGTTATGCCGTGGAAAAGATGGTTGGGCGCCTGAGGTGTAGAATTATTGTAGACTGAGGATGTTGAATGCCTTGTTTTGGTTTATTGTGGTCTGCGTTGGAAACGTGTATCAGGAAAAAGAGAGATCAAGGCTGTGAACGTTGAAGCTACCTCTGTTATTTTGGCGGGGTAGCTACACCTGTGTTGGACCTATGTCGCAAGCAGAATCGCCTCAAAAAAGAAGCCCCATTATGTAACAGGAGTTGAGTGCCTTATATTACAACGTCAATAACTTCACCATTTCTTTATAGAGATTTATGAAATATATTTTGAATTAAAATTTAATAGATTGTTTTTAATATACAATTTTTCATTATTTTTCGCTTTCGTTATTTTCTTTGAGAAAGTAAATTGAAAAAAAGGGTATGTTATTTCCTATGTATGCATGTGGCCTGTTCCATTGGACCGTTATTCAGGTACACAAGTACATCCCCAGCTAACATGGGACGTAAGGCTTAAGTGGAGTCTCGCAACACTACATAGCAGGAGCGCGTGCTGCTGATTTTGGTCCAGCCTTCAGCTTGCCAAAGCCTCATGCATCCACATTCACATAAGCTCAATCTATAAAGTAAAAAGTAAAGCTACCGAGCCGTTGATATAAATGACTTGCTTTATAAAGCGCATACTTTGTACTAACTATGAAGGGTTTCGTACAATTGAGTTTAGCATTCGAATCCTTCGATACTCAAAGAAATATATTAGATTTGCTTATATCAATGATACTGCCTCGGACGTAGGCCGGCTTCCCGGCATATTACATAGAATACTTCCATCTCCCGTCCGCACCTTGGATCCACAGGCTAAGCAAAGAGGCAAAGAGGCTAAGGTGGATACAGAACTAATACAGACTAGTGTACGAGACGAAAATAGGTAACGTTCAATTATCTGAGACCTGTTATTTCAACACGTCTTACCTAATAAACTTATTAGTCAACTCAAGTGTAATATATCTATATCAAGGTCAGTAAGTACTACATATGCCGTAGACACGTCGTCCTAGGAATATCAAGGTCAGTAAGTACTACATATGCCGTAGACACGTCGTCCTAGGAATATGCGCGTCGAATCTACTTGCATACTTGAGAATCGGTCTTTGCAACCTATTATACTCCTATCATACTCCAGGACTTCACTTAATAGATATCAGAATAACTAGGCGAATTTCTATACGTGAAAATATATTTCGGGTCAATTGAATAATACGAGTTGATCCAAATATAATTGTATTATACTAATGCTGGCTATTGTATCTAACTAGGTATATTATTTAAGTATACGGAATACTGTGTATATGCCGGTCTTGTTGCTTGTATCTATTGTCTATATACCGTGGTCTAAATGAGTATCATATCGCGAATATTGCCAAGATTGAAGTCCACTTTTGCACGGAGACGCGAGCTCCAATCATGGCGTATTCCGGTCCAAAGAGCTTTTTCGGTGGAGAGGGCCAAGACGGCGGTGTGCCGGTTTTCCGAGATCTAAGCATCTATCTCTAATCCATACCAGCTCCTAATAACAATTTGAACGAAGGTAGGTATTGATCTGTCCTTGTCAATAATATGAAACGCAAAAAAAAGGGTGTCAAAGCAAAGCGTGCTTGGTTGGAGAACAGAGCAATTTATCTATACACTAGTAAAGGTTCTTTTAGAGTTTTAGCCTGGCCTCATTTACATAATATCAATGATAGACCTTGACGGTTACGGCTGCATGCTAGCTTATCTCTACTAGGCCAACGCCGTTCCGCGAATATGCATGCAGGAAAATTGCTTTGGAGGTTAGAGGCGTGCCAAGACCACTGCTACGGGCTCTCCGCGTACATATGTATATTCTACTGTATAGATGGTGATCAGACCTGCAATGATACCTTGTGTTCCTGACCGGTAAACTTGATTATGATGTAGTCGACGTGAGAAAAGCCGCCATTGTGAGGGTCCATAACCGCCGCTTATGTATTCGCGTATTGGCAATAGTTACGCTGAAACCCGTCATAACAAGTAATTTTAGAATCATTATATTTATCAAAGTATAATGAATTGAAGAGAAATAGTTCGCTTCGAAGAAAGGAACGGAACTAGCATTGATATATATATGTGTATGAAGATGAATTATGTATTTATAGAGCTTGAAGTCATGGTCTAGTAATCCAGCCTTGCAAGTAAAGGTACCTAAGGTATGTATATACTTGGAGATCAAAGCGTGGTAGAAGTCAGCCATAAAACTACCTACATGTTCTAGACTCGAAGCCAAGGACAACTCATTAAACATACGTAACTTGAGGAAACTCGGTTTAGAGAGATCTGGTTATTGATGAACCGAACAGCTCGATCTCATGTGGAAAACCGGACTCTCTTAACCTCGTCTAAACGGACTGGGAGGCCTCACTAGTTGACATCGAATTAAGATGTGTTGATGTTACTTTGCGTATTTCATTAAACCTAGAGGCCTCCCGCCAGCTTCATGGCACGTATGCCGGCGCTGTCCAGGCCATTGCTTGAATTCGTACATTAGAACACGTACCTATGTAATATTTAGCCCTATTCGTGATTGTTTATGGTGTTGATAGGTTTAAGTGTTACTTACACGTTAATGCGGCCATGTAATTAATATAAGCTTTTCTATGCTAACATGACTACCTAGATTATATATAGATTTGATAAGTCTAAGATCCCTTTTGGACGGAGATACTCGGATTACTAGATTAAGTAAATAATCAAGGAAAAGATCTATTCTAGTAATCTCTTCTGCATAGTACACTTTTCGTGAAGATGTCTCTGGTTGATATATCATCCATCTCCTTATGTGCATATACCGCCTACACGTGTGCACCTAAACACGCATAAATCACTAGTGTAAATCAGAGTAGTATGTTTAATCTGTGCGACACCAGCCTATTACTTCGTCATGACTTGTAAAGATGTACTAGATGTACAATGCAGGGATTGTCCAGCTTCTGAGCAGCTTCGCCCCGCCTTGCAAAAGCAGTACTTATCCAACTATGTACATATATGATCCTGGTTTATCTAACTAAGCGCCTTTCTATTTGCATAGTCTCCCCACTCGAGCCACCATGTCTTTTTTTCTTAAGCGTTCCATCGTCCCCCCTTGAATTGCCTCTAAGAAGACGAGACGAATTGGCTTTAGATTCTCGTTCGTCATATTATTTACTCTATTCGCAAAGGCCATAGGAGAAATATATCCTAATTATTCATCCGATATTTCTTAAATTTTTTAACAATTGCAATTGCTAGCCCCAAACAGTATCGGCCTTATCAATCAATCAATCCATCCTATCTTTGAATCGATCGGTTTATTCCGACCGACCGCCTTTTCTTTTCTTTTCAATCCCGTTTTGATCATTGTATTTGTTCATCGCCCATTACTCGCTACATACAGGTCACTACAGGACGTCAGACAGCAAGCATACCTGACTCCATTACTCTCCCGGTAGGTACCTGATCTTCTTGGTACAATACACCCTCTTTTTACCCGTAACTACCCAGCCCTATATGCCTATCCTTGTATACGTATCTCTCAGACTGGCAAGGGAAGAAGAGAAGAAGAAGAAAATACAACGTTCACATACATACAATTCCTACGTTAAGTACCTAGGTATGTACGTAATGCATAGCAAAACTAAGGGTAGCATGTACTGCATCTCCAATGTGTAGGTGGAGGTACCTAAGGTAGAGGTTTTGTCCTACCTACCCTCCTGCCCTCCTGCCCTCCTGGCTTCCTGCCCTCTAATCTTAGGCGCTCTATGCTATGGATGCTATGGATGCTATGACCTACGCTACTGCATCAGCGCATTCGGTCCCATCTCACCCTACCCTACTTTTCTCTCACTCACTTCACTCACATACTTGACTCAACGGTCTGTCCTAGATGTTCGTACTCAGATAAGAATCATATCTTTACTTATTCTTCTTCTACCTTATTAATTTATCATTCACGTTTTTGGTTAACCCCGAGGCTATTTTTCTAATCCTCCCGCCCATTCACGGGGCTTCAATTGGGCCAACCCCCTCCCACATTACTGACTTCTTTTCATATAGGTAAAGCAACTTCTGCCCTGCATTGTGGTCCTTGTTCGATATAATTAGTTTGCCCAAGAGCAAGCGTCAAGCTTCGAAAATGCGCTGGAACACATCTCCTATCTCATAGACATATGAATTAAAGCGAAGACGGCACCGGGCTATTCTTCACGTATTCTAGGAGGGTGCCACTCCCGGCACCCACAATCGACCAGACATGACACCTCTTTCTCGCTCTTCACGCACCCCTGCTGATCGCACAGGATCCGTTAAGCCCGAAACCCTAGATGGCCAGGTATCTGACGGAGAGGAATCTTCTTTGCAAGCCTTGGACACGGGCTCTCCGGCTGGGGAGACTCCAGCCTCTGCTCCTCAAGGTAGCCATGCCGAAAGTTCTAGCGAAACCCCGTCTGTTCCTCTCCAGAAGCGCCGGAGGGTGACGCGCGCATGCGAGTATGCAGTTCTAAACTCCTTTTTTTTTTCTTGCCCTGGTCCCTCTTCAGTTGGCTTCTAAAACACGTCTCTCTTGTGAGCGTGTCTAGTGTCACCCAGAGCTTCACAGTCAAATATCTTCACCTCGACGCTTAAGTAACATCTAAAGATCCAAATACTAACTTGGTCTCTTCTAGTGAATGCCGTAGGAAAAAGATAAAGTGCGATGGAAAGCAACCATGCACCCATTGTCAGGTGTATAGCTACGGTAGCCTTTACCCCATTCCTTAGCTATTCCTTACCGGCTGATGTGGTATTGTTAGACTGTACATACGATAAGCCTTCCAACAGGCGCAGGAATCCGGCTCCGCAGTATATAGAGGCTCTAGAAAATAAGCTGTCGAGGGCGGAGAACTTACTGCGCAGATTCATGCCGGATGTCGACCTCAACGACCCAAGTCTGGATCCTGCAGTCCAGCAAGAGTTTCGCATCCGGGAGCAAGCTAGAGCCCGGACTTCGACAACCAAGGGGAAACAGCCAGGTTCTTCGTCTTCTGCAGACGCCCAGTTACATTCTATGATCGAAACCACTGGCCAACTCGACCTCGACGATAAGGGTAACTACGATTT